AATAAAAAAATGACAAATTCCAAGGACAACCAAAAAAAGCACTACCACCAACTCATTTTCTTGCCAATACTTTCACCTGAAAGTCATACCAGCAACCTGATGAAAGCATGATATGAATTCCGAAGCAATATCTTCTTCTTTAAAACTTAAAAAAGATTCTCCCCCCGCCCCCTTTGTTTATAATGTTTCATCCAACCAGCCAAGTCTGAATCTGTCTCCTCTTTCCCTGCCTTTATCTTTCTCTTCAACTAGAATAGGTCAAATCTCAGGGTTTTTTCCAAATTACACTTCTGCTTCGGGCTTACATTTCTTTTATCTGACCATTGCCTTACTATTGCAACTCCTCCTCCTGTCCCTTAAGGCTAATTTCATAATCCATTACATGAGGCTTTAAATAAGAAGAAAGGACAGGGATCTAAAACACTAGTAGCCAAACTCGCGACTACCCTGGTGTCCATTTCATCAGGACCAACCAGTGGTGAAATCCTCTGCGGGTTGCCACCAGTTCGCTGCCCAAATGCACGCTTCGCGCAGAAAAAGGAGCCTTTTGAGGGTAAGTAGAACAGCGAGGGGGGGGGGCAGAATAGCTGTGCCGCGCAATTTAGATTGGCTAGAAAGCAGGATTTCCTGTTTTCTAGCAAATATAAATTGCGCACCACAGCTGTTTTTTTTTTTTACTACCGGTTCACCCGAACTGGTAGCTTTTATTACTACTGTGTTTCCCTGAAAATAAGACCCTGTCTTATATTTTTTGAACCCCGAAATAAGCGCTTGGCTGTATTTTCGGGGAGGTCTTATTATTTTGGGGCGCGTGGAGCAAGATGGGGCTCCTGTTGCTGTCTTACCTGATTTCCAGCTCTGCGTTTAAATATTTTCAGGGAGGGCTTATTTTCGGGGGGGGGAAGCTTATTTTAGGGCATGTGCTCAAAAGTCTGATTGGGCACATGCTATCAGGGGATGTCTTATTTTCAGGAAAACAGGGTACCGGTTCGTCTGAACCGGTGCAAACCGGTAGCATTTCACCCCTGGGACCAACCTATTCAAACTCCTCCCAGATAACTGGCAAGATCTCATTTCAGGCAGTTCAATTCAATTCTGTACAAATCCAAGTGATTTTATCTGAGAGACACCTAGAATAATCCTCATAATGGCCCCTAAATTCTCCCCCAAGCTTTCACTGCCCAGGAGTGACTGGATCACTTTGACCAGAATCACAGACCAGTTATCTATAGGTACCCTTGTTGCCTAAGAAAGACTCTTACCTTTGCTGTTTGTTTTCCTCCGGTGAGCATGAATGTGCACAGAATCCTTAAAGTGCAATACCACCCAAGTGGCGAGTAAGGCCTCAATCATCCCAGGAATAACCCTAAGCTTCTTCTGGAACCTTGTAGCATGTCTGGCATGGACAAATCAAATAGGGAAGCCTCTCTGGAGAGGCGTACAATCTCAGAAAACTCCAAGCCCAATGGGAAGCAATATTTTCACAAGGGATAAATAATATCCTCCAAATGCAGCCACTATTCCAAGATAAAAATAAAGTACAATGTGTGGCAGGTCTAAGACAACTCTCTATGGCCAATTCTCCATGGCCAACTTTCCGCAGGACAATTTGCCGCGGAACAAGAGTTACACTAATATCGAAGAAGTGGTGGCATGGAATCAATAAAGAAAGAATGTCAAAGGAGATACAAAATGAAATGTGAATGACCAAAATTAAAATAATTTTTAATTATTTTAATTAAATTGAATTGTTGAATTGTCCTGCAGCAAGTTGGCTGTGGCGAGTTGTTCCAAGGCAAGTTCGCTCTGGTGAGTTGACCCATTATGTGTGTGGCAAACAAACCTTAGCAGTTCAGGTAGGGAAGTTGCCATATAGCAGGAAGGCTGGTAGATGAGCTACAGTCCCTTCTAAGCCCTGCAGCCAAAACTTCACAATACTTCACTACCAGCTACCTGTTGAGCAGCACCTCTAGAAGCTGCCAGGATCTTGTGGATAACAATGAATATATTGCCAGCCCAGGGTTCACAGACATGAAACCCAAAGGGTTATAGTAACCTCTCTCTCCATCCCCAGACAGGTTTCAGAAATGCAAGCAAAGGTAGCCTTCCTTCATTAGATGTGGATGAAGGAATCGTGTTACAGGTTGTTCAATATTAAGTACCAACAATTAGAAAACAGAGACCACCCAAATCTCCTGTTCAACATCTTATCATTGCCAGCTCCACAAATAGCAAGGGCAGGAATACTTCAATGCTGATCTATCCAGGTCTAAAGTGGCAGATGAAATTGGCAAGATGGCTATAAGGCATGCAGTCAGATCAGTGGCAGCCCTTTGACACATGTCTCTGCATTGTAATAAAACCGTGAGATAATTACTGTGAGAGCTGAAACAGTCGGATCCAATTTGTTTTGTGTTCAACCCGTCTACAATGAACTTTGTACAATGCTTAGAAATACTGAAAACTCACAATTAGAGTTCAATTACAGCAAGGAGTGGGAGGACAAAATATATCAAGGGCAGCTGCTCATGCAACATGTTTCAAGGAAGCTATTTCCCAAGGGAAAATTGTTATGCTCTTAATTAAAAAGAACCAACTCTACTTGGTACTTTTCCAATGTACGTCTAAGAGATTATAGTTTAGATAGGCTACAAGAGAGAGAGAAAATGACAGAAACAGTCCAGAAATCAGTTATTGTTTTTACCTTTCACATATTTCATTCACAACAGAAGGATAATCTCTCAATCTTCCTTTAACTGAATATTCCAGAAGTGCTCCAAAAAATTTGCAAGTGCCAGCATGATGTCTGCCATGTAAGTATTTTTTAAAAAACCTGTAGTATTTCAGTTTTAGAGGTGTCCTATGTCAAAGTATTTACAAACATCTTCCTTGCTGCTCAGGAAACTTCATTCCACATCACATTTTAATTCCTTAAAGATTAATTTTTAAAAATTGAACAGAAGCTAGCATGCTGCTATGCAAAATTCCCTCCTACATATCTCTACTCCCAAGAATGCTTCTGAAGGATTCTTAGGTGGCTGGCTGAAGTTTAATACTATCAGCTCCCCAAAGGAAAGTAAACTGAAGTAATAAAGAACATATATGAAAGACTAGAGCTCATGAGGAGAGCAACTTCATCTTCTTCTTTCTGGTAAAGTGGCCATTTGTGAAACCTTTGGCCTCCATATAATGTGGAACGCCCACAACATGTCCTCACAATTCATAAGCACTTAGCTCATAAAGGTTGGCCTACTTTATCTTAGAGTCCTCCCTCAAGTTACTAAAGACTTTTGGCAAGGAGTAAAGAGCCAACAATAAAGCTGTATTTTTATACTAACAGAACTCCTATGCAGGCATTCAGCTCCTGAAAGACTCAAGAACTGTGCACCCTGCATCCATCCTCATCTTTTAAACACTGAATAGAAAGATCTGAAGAAAGATCATTAATTTTGTACAAAATGTTTGAGGAAGGCATTTCAGAAGGGAAGACATGGCTGCTTTGAAAGCCACTTGTTCCCTGGGATCACCAGTGAAACAAAGCAGTTGGGGTAAGTGCACATATGTGGAAACAACTGAAGAAAGACTTTGAACTATCCCCCTTCTGAGCATTCCAGAAATTACAAAGTCTTGTATCAAAGACTGCTTTGCTTCAATAAACCTATTTCACAAAGCCACCCTTTAAAATGCCTTGCGAAGCCCAGAAAACTTATTTGGGCAAACACAATTATAGATCTCCATTCTACATTCAGCCTAATATCATAACAATCCCAATTAAAATCTTCCTGATTAATCCATGCAAATCAGCCACATCAGGGGGCTTTCTTACTAACTACACCATTCACTGTATTCCTATATGCAAACAATTTTAACTGTTTGCTTTAAGTTATTGGGTTTTTTTGGAATCAAAAAACCTTTGTGCGCATTAAAGTATGACAGTAGTTCTAGCTGAGATCAAAACTTCCTCTACAATGGTAACAGGTTTCCAACATAACTAGCCAGCCAATAGTCCAAGATCTACTGTTTTTGAATGAACAGATGTTGTTATCCTAAAAGTCTAAACAGCCTTGACCCAACTCAGCTGTGACTTAAGCTTTTCCAACCACAGAATTCAAGCTCTCCATATCTTGCTTGATTCTGAGTAGCTCAGTACAATATACAAGTTTCACCATGTGGAACTTTTTGCATTCGGGAGGTGGGGATCGTCGAAAAGTTTGTTCCCTACCCTCGTAAGGGTTTCCAGATAAAGAGTAAGACACTAGGCTATTGCATCAAAGCCAAAGCTCTTGGATTTCTCTTAAACCAAATCACATCAGCTTCCACGGATCCACCTGCGCGGGAGAATGTGAAGTGTCACACATATTTCGTTGGTTCCAACGATACTGTTGCGAGAAGTGTCTCTAGAGAATTTCACCAAAATCAAGCCGTTGTCAGTAACATAAAATAGATCAGGTTGGCCAATTGTCATCCTTTTACAATCCAAGCCCCGTGAAATCACTTTCACCCAGATCATCGGAAACCCCGAGGATCACCTCTTGGGCAAAGCAAGTTCCCAAGGAAGAAGAAAGACCCCCAACCACGCACCCACCCCCGATCCGTGATCTCTGACTTACCCCGTATTGGGCAGCATGGCCAGGTCCGACGAAAGTTAAAGCGGGGACCGCCGGGCAGATTTCAGGCCCGGGTGGGACGGGACAGCGCCTTGGTGCCTCGCAAGGCCGCTCAGATTCCTACACTTGCTTAGATTTAGAACCTTCAACCAGAGCAAAAGAGGCGCAACAATCGAAATCGATCCCTCAGACCCCGCCCCTCTCGCTTGCCACGCGGGAAAGAGAAGCCTCGTCTTCAGCCCCGCCCCTCGCCAGGCTTCACTAGTCTGACCCCGCCCCCCGGAACCCGCTCTTGCGTCATTGACTCAGCCCCTCATTCTGCGCGTCCTTAGCAACCGCTCACTCAACCAACGCTCGGGAACGCCGCCTGTCCGGGTCACGTGATTCAGTGAAGCGATTGGCGGGACGGGGAGGGGACGGTACCTCGCCTTTTCTTTTCGTCTTTAACGGTTGGGTTGAGACGGTCGCCCGAAGGACGGGCGGGAAGATTTTTCTTCGTACGCGGCTGGGTTTTCTTAGACCTTCTGTCGCTGTTTTTTTTTTTCCACCAAGAGCGAATCTCATCAAGATATTGTGTAAGACGCTTGTTGTGAAGCCAAGACTTTGAAGCCATGAGTAGGTCGTTTAGTAACTTTATTCTTAAAGGCGATGCGTCTTATCGCGAGTGGCGGATATGAGGTCCTCGAGATAAATAACGACCGAAACTCCTTATGATTGAATTTGCCAAGAGCATGGATTTGGCCTCTCGTTTGAAAGAAAAATATCAAAATGTCAAACAATTAACTAATTAGAAAAAAAAACCTTTCACAATGACAGGTGAAAGAGTTAGTAACTAAACGGGGGGGGGGATCACCTTTTCAAGTTTTGCCTTAAACTTGTAATCCTAGCTATTGGACTTTGTAATTCATGACTTAAGGTTTTTTCATAGTATGCAAACACAACCAGGTGTGGCTTATTTAGTAAATGATTACTTCATTTTGTTCTTCCCATAACGCCAATGGTCAAAAGTCACCCTTCCACTAAGCTTCCATGGCTGAAGAAGATCCACATGCTAGTCCAATATCTTAATCACAACATTCTACTCGGCAAGAAATGGTTTGCTGAAGAGTAGGATGATGGAGCTGCACCGCTTGACTTTCAAAGGTACTAGGGAGAAACCAGAGCATGTTCACAATACAATAACCAGAATCAAAACAGAGCTGGAAAGGACCTTGAAACAGTGGTGAAATCCAAATTTTTTTTACTACCGGTTCTGTGGGCGTGGCTTGGTGGACATGGTGTGGTTTGGTGGGCATGTCTTGGGCGTGGCAGGGGAAGGATACTGCAAAATCCCCATTCCCTCCCCACTCCTGGGGCCAGCCAGAGGTGGTATTTGCCGGTTCTCTGAACTGCTCAAAATTTCCGCTACCGGTTCTCCAGAACCTGCTGGATTTCACCCCTGCCTTGAAGGCCTTCTAGTCCAGCCCCCTGCTCAAGTAGGAGATCCAACACCATTTCAGACGTGGCTGTCCAGTCTCTTCTTAAAAACCTCCAGTGATGAAACACCTCCAACATCTGAAGGCAAGCTGCTCCACTGTTTAATTGTCCTCATTGTTAGGAAGTTTCTCCGCAATTCCAGCTTGCTTCTTTCCTTAGTTAGTTTCCACTCATTGTTTCTTGTCCTGCCTTCTGGTGCTTTGTAGAATAATTTGACAACTCCCCTCACCTATTCAAATACTGGAATACTGCTATCATGTCCCCCAGTCCTTTTCTTTAGACTGTCACTAGCCAAACCCAAATCCTGCAACCGTTCTTCATAAATAAACAATCCTTTTTTCTTGAGTTGGTTCTTTTATACATAACATTATATAAAATATATTTAGTTGGCATATCATTTACACTTGCAAATAATGTTTTCATCAACTTAATGATTATAATTCCACTTCTCAGACATATTCTGAAGCTTTTATATCATTAACAAAAAGAGAAGACCCAGCTATCAGGCTTGCAAATTAAGCCACAAGGAGAAAGAGGAGATAAATTGTTGACTCAGCCTTCCACCCTGAGTCGAAGGTTGACTCAGCCTCCTATCCTTTTGAGGTGGGTACAATGAGAAACCAAATTGTTGGGGGGAATATGCTGACTGTAAACCGCTTAGAGCTGTAAAGCACTGTAAAGCGGTATATAAGTCTTATTGCTATTGCTATAAATAAAGGAAATTAAAACCTGTTCTCCAGTATTCAGTTAAGCACTGCACACCTCCCTTGTCTGCATCATCAACTGCTTTCTTGTCTCCCTTATGGATCATATTGTCCTGATTTGTGGGTATTCTGAACATAGAGGTGAGATTATTGATCTTTCCTTCTAGCTTTGCTTTACCTCTTCACCATACAGTAGAAAAATATTAACTGGGGCACAGCAATCTGATTGGGTAGCTCTGTTGTTGTTGCACAATTATGCAATTTGGGAACTCTGTCTTTGTTTCACTGCATGTCCCTCTAACGGCAACTCAGAAATGCCTTATTGTTTGTCACCAAAGGCTCTTTTAAAATTTGTAGCCATGTTAGATTTTTAGGACATCTCAAACTATTCTGAATATAAGTACATTCTAATGGATAATTAGCAGTCCCAGGTCAGTCAGTCACCTTCAGAGCTGGGACTGGAACAGGGGTGAAATCCAGAAGGTTCTGGAGAACCGGTAGCAGAAACTTCAAGCAGTTCAGAAAACCGGTAGCGGAAATTTTCAGTAGTTCGGAGAACTGGCAAATGCCACCTCTGGCTGGACCCAGAGTGGGGTGGGATTGGAGATTTTACAATATCCTTTCCCCAGGAGTGGGGAGGGAATAGGGATTTTGCAGTATCCTTCCCCTGCCACGCCCAAGCAGCTACACCACACCCACCAAGCCAGAACTGATACTAAAAAAATTTGGATTTCACCACTGGACTGGAATATTTGGCAATGGTCATTAGAGCCTTGGTGACACAGTGGCCAGAATGCAGTATTTCAGGGTAACTCTGCCCACAGCCTGAAGTTTGATCCTGATGGGCTCAAGGTTGATTCAGCCTTTCATCCTTCTGAGGTCGATAAAATGAGAGACTATTGGGGACAATGTGCTGACATTGTAAACAGCTCAGAAAAGGCTGTAAAATACTATGGACTGGTATATAAGTCTAAGGGCTATTGCTGTTGCTGTTCATGCCAACTGCAAGAAGAAAATGCTCCGGTAGAACCCTGGTTGCATCACCATCAATAACCTTAGAAATATCTGCTAGAGTTATCAGAATACAACAAAAGCAAACAAACATACTTGGCAACATCTTGAAAGCCTTATATGACCCAGTTCCTGGATATCTTAGTTATCCTTTTATCTCTAGATAGATAATACATCTTTGCCTGTTCCAAGGATATTCTGCCCCTCCATCCTGAGTGACTAGAGAGCAGCTGAATGTCCCCTCCTATTAAGAGGTATTTCGGGAAGATAAATGAGAGGGGCATGGAGTCAGATATTCTTGGCTGACCCTTCCTTTGAAACTACTTACGATTCAAGGCAACAATTACCTCTCCTCTTTATGGGTTTATAGATAATGGTTAAAGCCAAGCTGTTCTGGAAAGCTTTTGGAGAGTAAACAGCTAAAGTTAAGATCTGCAATATTGTGATACTGGTTTTGTTTGTTTTGTATTCTATTGTATTTGTATTGTAGTCTCATTTTATTTTGAAGAAAACGAAGGAACAGTTGTATGAAACTGAAATGTGGCCCGCTTTTTAAGATCTTATTCATCTCTTAATTTAAATAAATACATGGACAAAACCACTGTTTGCATAGCAGTTTGCGCAAAAATGGAGTGCAATTCAGAGGAGGAAGATCGCCACATTACTGAAACAATGATTGTTGGATTTCAGTTTACAGAAAAGAGGAACCGGACTTAATAGATTTTAGTAAGATTTTTCATAGAAATTTTGAACTGTGAAATGAGAAATTCTAAGGCTCTGATTTACTGACAGGATAGTAACGCAATGATAGGAATGTTTCATTTTTTAGGATCTGTGAAGGGGACCATCTCACCATCCTTTTGGTAGGACGGGAGTAGACAGTGTATGCACAGAGAATAAAATGTGCTGATTCATACTTTCTGTTGCAAGTAAAAATAGCAAAAAAAAATGTTGAGCATGCAACCCTCACACCATAAATTTTAGATAAGGTTAGTTTGGTTAGGGATTAGTATTCCCTCAATGGAAAATTGAAACTTTGTAAATAAAAAGCAAATAACTTAAACCAATGCTAAACACAACCTTTTGCTTTGGTTTTAAACTCTTGTAGCTTCAGGAATCTTATGATTTGTTACTAGCTTCTTTTTTTCTTTTATTTAATTCAGTTTATTTTTTAAAAAAAACATTTTAGGTTATAAAATAAGATACAAAATATAAAAGTAAACAGGAAGGCGGGGGAAGAGAAGTGAGGAAGGGCTGGGAAAAGGAAAAAATGTTGACTTCTTACTCTCTCTGTTGCAGTAAAATAAAGCATTAACATCAAACCACAACTTTTTGTTTTTTTCATAGTAATATAAACTAGCCATTTTGTATGCTTTGTATAAGCATCTATCAATCTAATTGGTAAAACCCAAAATCAAAGTTTCATTTTTTTCCACCTCAAGCACAAAGTTCAAAAGCAGTCTCCATGTGGAAACAAAGATACTTATATTTATATATTATATATATTAATATATATTATATAGTAATACATTTATTATATATTATATATTAATACATTTAGTCAAAATGGTCAATTTAGCCATTTCTGCCAACTCCATCAGCTTCTGCAGCCATTCGTCCATGGTGGGAATCAAAGTGTCCTTCCATTTTTGTGTATACAGTAGTCTTGCTGCTGTCAACGTATATAAGATCAAAGTTCCAAATTTTTTATCCATGTCTTTTTCCATTAAACCCAAAAGAAAAATTTCTGGTTTCATCTTTATCTTCATTTTAAGAATTTTCTGTATTCAAATATGAATCTTACTCCAAAATTTCTTTGCTTTATTACATGTCCACCATAAATGATAGAAAGTCCCTTCTTTACTTTTACACTTCCAGCATTCATTTGAAGTATCTTTATACATTTTAGATAACTTATCTGATGTTAGATACCAGCGATACCTCATAACATTTTTCTTTACACTTTATTTGATTCAGTTTAGAGTCTACTTGACTTCTTGGGCATTGTTTCAATTTGTTTATTTGTTTGTTAAAGAAAAAAATGAACTATCAAATATAAGTTTCAGTCAATCACATTTGACCCTTTGGGGGCAAAAGCGCAAATACCATATTCAAAAGACATAAAGTAAATATTTTATTTTTCAAAATTTTTAGTAAAATGGGCATGTTCTAAAAGTATTAATGTGAACCATAATTATCTCAGAAGATAAAAATATACATATCCCTTCTAGAGTTCCATAATATTAAAATGATCAACTGCAGGTTATTTTTTCCCCTCAGGAAGGTTACGGCCTGTTGACTGAATTATACAGAAGAATGAAGGAGAAATGCAGCTGAAGGAATCATGGCACCTCAAGCCAATTTGCAAAAAGACGTAGGGCCTGAACCAGTCTAGTAGAAAAAAACTGAGTTTTCCATCAGTTCCTAATCTACATTTACTTACTGCAGGCCTTTGGTGAACTAATAATTAACTGTTACTTGAAGGCATTAGGGATGTAGGGAACTTTTAAATTCAGTTCAGGTAATAAGAAATAGAAGGAAACTGCTGCTCATCTAATGAAGATTTTTGAAATGAATGAATGTAAAATGTGTAGAAATATGCTAAAAGACATGGATTTCTTAATCATTGATAAATGTCAACAGGGGACCATTACTTTCACTACTCTGAGATTAATAATATAATAATAATAATAATAGTAATAATAATAATGAGTTCCTAGCTAATTAGATATATGGCAGAATCCTGATAAACATTCAGTTCTATGAAGAAGAATTTGAAGAGTGTGCTTGTACTATCTAAGAAAACATTGTCTGCTAGGGTTTACTATGCCATGCTTCACCGCATGTGCACGCACACCAGGGAGCTGCTCTTCCGGTTTCCGGTGCTCCCGCACAAGTGAAGACCAGCTGGCCCAGAAGAGCAATGGGCAATGGCTGGTGTGCCCAGAGAGATGGCTCTGCGTGCCACTTCCAACACAAGTGCCATAAGTTCACCATCACGGCTCTATGGGAACTGGAAAACATGACCGTAAAACTAGACAGTTTTCATCTTAATAAAATTTGAAATAGATTTAAATAGTGAATAAACGTTTAAAGGACACATGGTTTTTATCTAATAGCTGGAGAATAGTGAGTGTAAAAAAATATCTCCTTCCATTGATAGATACTGCTTTTGAATGCTTGCATATTATTTTCTTCTGCAACTCAAGGCATTTAGTGGTTTACTAAAAAACATCTTCAGTTGGGTCAACTTTAAAATCAAATTATTATATTACTTTTATTTTATCTTACAAATCCTACCATGATCAGAAAAACAACTCAGAGTTTTGCAACTCTTATACTTTCTATAAGATAAATTGAGTAAATTGTAAAATAAGCATAGAGGGCTAACAAGAAAAGTTGGTGGAAAAATAGAAGGCCGGCTAGGCAACCTTTACTGCTTGCTCACTTACTTGTTTGCATGCTAATTTTTTCATACCAATTCTTCCATACCAAATATGAGGCTGGCAACATGCATTTTTAAAAGTGTCAAGTACTCGTATCTAAGTGGTGAACACCTTGCATAAATTATTTATTTAATGCAACGTTTCACATTAGCCTACCCTCTTACAGTTAATTGTAAATGACTAAAACAGTTGGAAATTAACCATTTGTACAGATAATTTTGGGTTAGGGGTGCTTTTTTGTTTTTTTGCTGTTAAATACTATAATTCTGTACAGCAGGAACTCAGGATTTCTTTCTTTCGATGCTTCATTTAAATATTCTAGACCAGCTGCTCTATGTCATCTTAATGAAGATAACTCTTAAATTAGCATTGCGAATTACAGCTTTAACATATCCTCCTTCATTGTAAGCACACATACTGCATATACTTGCCATATTTTAGCAGATTAACATACATAATGTAAATCAGAGGCATCTGACAAAGACAACAAAATATTCTCATGTACAAGACTATAAAGCTAAACAATATTGTATTGGCTTTATGTTCATTCTCTTGCACTGCAGTAATTAAGCCCCATACTAAAAAATTTTACACCCACTGAGGAAAATATAATAGTGTTTTCTGATAAGTAATACGTTGGAACAACTGTCAATAAGGAAGACAAAATAGTCTGGATAGTCGATGTGCGCGCGCGGCCCCGTTGCGAACCAGTAGTAAAGGTAAGTAGAACCCACCTCTGGTTAGTACCAATAGTAATAGGCACCTTGGATGCAATCCAGTAGTGGGTTTCAATTTCGGCCGCTACTGGTTCGCTTGTGGGTGCATGCACGCACAACTCTTCTGCGCATGTTCAGAGACGTCTGGGTGGGTGGGCGGAGTCTCCTGCCACTGCTGTTACTGGTTCGCCCAATGCCGGTGGGAAGCTCGCGCGTGGCCCCATTACAAACCAGTAGTAAAGGTAAGTAGAACCCACCCCTGAGCCATAGCTATAGTTACATAGTAAATACTTTCTTATAGCTATGGCTATACAGTAAGTAGCAAAAGGAAGTTAATCTGACTTCTTTGCTGGAGAGCATTGACAACTTCTTTTTGTATACCAAATATAGAAATATTCTCCATATTATTTTAAGTCAGATTTTAAATTTAGCCTTAATAAAAAACATATGTGCCCTGTTTAAAAAAAAATCTGAGGTCTATTTGCTAAACTTCTAAGGGAGATATTTTTAAAGATACAGAGATGTAATACATTGCTTTTTCTTGTGTGCTAGTGTCAAAAGCTTATTTTTTTTATAAAAAGGGGCAAGAACAAAACAGTACCAATTACTACTCCACCTCTCTCTACCATGAGTTTTCTTGGAATGTTTATAGTGACATCAAAGCTTTTAGATTGAGAAATATAAATGCAGATGTACACATTCTTGAGGAAATGTCTAAAGGGAAATTATGCTACAGTCCATCACAGCAGTTTAATCCCATGTACTAATAATTCTGAAGCTCTGATTTGGAACTTATAGCCTGATAATTGACCCAGATAATTAGCTAGATAGTTCTACCAGCTTAGTTATTTTTTTTCCTTTTCTAGACCAGCCCTTTCCAGGAAAAGAAATTTTTTTTGTTTGCTAATACCCTGTTAATCTTATCTTTAATCTTATTTGTTTAACAAGAAAATAAAATAAATAAACCTCTTTTAATATGTATAAGGTTGGGTTGTACGGGCATATGTGGAACACCAGAAGACTGCAGAATACTCACATAAATGCGAAGTGGCAGCCATGTATTTGCAAATATTCGTTAAGTATAAAATGAAATAAATCAAATTTGTCTACCACAGTATGCTTAATTTCGTTTCTATTTCTACACAGCCCTCATTTTGTTCTGATATTGTATTTTCATTCCCAGTTTTTATTTATTTATATTGGAAAACAGTGTGATAAAAATGCTGAGTGTGAATATGATAAAAATTTGAGTATGTTAATATTTAACAGTCTAATTAATTTATAATACAGTAATGTTATTAATTTTGTACTCCCCACTCATTTTTTATTGATCTGAAAAAGCTAAGGAAATGTTGAACATGATAAGTGGTTGAATGGGAAACAGCCAAAGAATCTCAGGGCTTCAAATTAGGAAATAATAATAATAATAATAATAATAATAACAACAACAACAACAACAACAACAACAGCAGCAGCAGCAGCAGCTAGACATGACCAAGTTGCTAAACTAATCCACTGGGCATTATGTAAAAAATATGACTTACCTGTATCCGAAAAGTCAAAAATGAGAAGGTGAAGATCTTGTGGGACCTTCAAATACAGACAAATCGTCATTTAGAACACAACAAGCTAGATATCACAGTCATCAAAAACCGAAGCATACAATTTATTGATATCACTGTACCAGGAGACGCCAGAGTCAAAGAAAAAGAACTAGAAAAAATCATGAAATATTGCGACCTGGTCATCGAAACTACCCGATTATGGATGAAATATGTGACAGTAATACCCATTGTCATCGGGACACTTGGTACCATGTTCAAGAATTTTACACAGTACATCAGGAAATTGCAATTCCTGCAATAACACCAGAACTGCAAAAAACTGCACTACTTTGAACATTGTATATTTTAAGAAAATACTTGGTCGATACCTAGGATGCTGGCAGCAACCCATATCAACCATCATTGCCAAGTAATAATATTTGTGATACATTTTTAAATATATTCATATATTCATATAGTCACTGCAGTTCAGTTTGACCAAAAAAATTATCTTATTTTCCCCATTTTAAAAATCTGACTGTTACGGTTGAACTGGTCCCGTTTGAAAAAGCATAAACAATTTTTTGTCAAGAAATATTAAGCATCTCTGCTTCCATGTTTTATTCCAGGTTTGTTTATGCTTTTAAACATTTATTTATTTATTTATTTATTTTAATTTGTATACCGCCCTTCTCCAGCAGGACTCAGGGCGGTGAACAGCCAGAATAAAACATGAGAAAAAGAAGGCAATACCGGCATACCCAGCTACTACCTTGAGTCTGATTATTGTTCAGAATGTCCTTTATGTGCCATGGTTTGAAAAGATTAAGAATATTGCCCATCTGACAATGCTAAAACCTTCAGTCTGATTAGGTGTAAAAGAATATCTGGTTTGTTTGTGCATATGAACTTATGCCTTGCTTTGCTTTCTTCCCATTCCACAGGTGCAAGTAAAAACATTTAAAATGATTGTCATATATTTATAGCTATTGCTATAACTTTGTACATATCTTATAATCAAGCCTACATTGGCTCATGATTGTTTAACAAATCACCATTTAAAATAAATCCTGGTTTAGCAAGGTGTATGAACCACAGTAATGATTGCTTCGTTGGACATTTATCACTCATTGGTATAAAAAAGAACTATGCCAGCAAATATTCTGAGTAGTAAAGCATGACTGCAATTAAAACAGAAAACTAAAAAAATGTGATTCAGATTTTAAAACCCTAAAAAGGCTGGCAATACTGAGAACTAAACAATCTGGTGGGAAACATTCTATACTAATATATTTTGGGATGGAAGAAATTCAAGGCCCCATTCTTCCTCTCTTACATAAAAGCTTAGGCATCTCTTATCAAAACAAACAGAATCGGCAGCTTCAACAACTAAAACAGTTTCAGGCTGAAGCTCCTATGATCTTCTGTTTTCTAGGTTTAATTGTGATTTTTATTTTTGCATAATCCAAGAATGGATTCCTAAAACATACTAAAGCATAAACTACAGTATGCATTATAAATGACAATGTCTGAATTCTCATAAACAGTGTCACAACTGAGTTCAATGTATGAATCCATTCTAAAAGTCTGTGTAAATGTCAAGAGCATAGACTTAGCATCTAGCCACAATTGTATAAAAGTGACAATGCACACATAGAGACATCACAATGTAAAACTGCTTTTAATATTTACATCCCAATATCAGTCACAAATATGTAACTCATAAGATGACCATCATATCACTTTAATTTTTTATTGGAGTAGTATTCAAAAATGAAAAATGCAAACATGATCAATCAACTAATAAACCAATCAATGTCTGTTTGGCCCAAAGTCAAGATAAGTATAGAATTGCAACTAAATCCTTAGAAGAATATTTTTAAAAATTATTTTAAAAACCTGATGCTCCCTTTTGACTTTGTGTTCATTTCTTTCAGCCTAGCATAGCTCTTTCACGTGGTTATGCAAATCCTTATGCATTCTCTTCCCATGCATGTGAAAAGCAAGCAGAGTGATCTCATGGAGACAAAGCAAGCAAAAATAGACAGTATTATATGACAATTGGAAACTTCTCAATTAATCTCAGTGTCTAGTCCATTTTGAATCTTTGTATTAAACAGCATACTCGTACAAATCTTGAAAACTTTTTAGCAGGCTTTCAAACATGATGCCTTCATTGGTTAGGTTCTCACAATATAGGAAATTATAGTTTACAAATAGTCTTCAACTTACAACCAGAATTATGATAAAAAGTGCAAATTGTTAAGTGGGTCATCATGTGACCAACTTCAATTTTACCACATTTTTGTGGCAGTCATTAAACGAATCACCATAGCTGTTAAGCAAACACCGTGGTTGTTACATGAACCCATTGTCTGCAATGGACTGTTCTTGACAGAAACAGGAAGTAAAGACCAGGTTCTAGCCAAAAAAAAAAAAAGTCTCATAAACCTTGGTCATGTGACCACAGGATGCTCAAATAGCCATAACTGCAATCACATTTGGAGCAGAGGCAGCTGGCAGCCATCAGAAGTTTGAATTTGGTTTTTCCTTTCCCTTTTCCTACTAGGCTAAAAATAAGGGGAAAATTACAACTGCATTAACTGAAGAACCACTACGAAATATTGCTTTAAGAGGAAAATTTACTTATATGTTGTATGTTTTGTAAATGTTTTTTATATGTGTTTTATATGTGTTTTAATAAAGTTTATAAAAAAAATTTTTTTAAAAAAGAAGTTCGAATTTGGGGTGGATGGCACCCATTAGAACTTCCAATCAGGTCCTAAGTACCTTTTGGGGGGAGTCCATCATAACTTTCAATACTTATTAAGCAACTGTTCATAAGTCAAAAACTAAGATATGCACTTGTTTACATATAAGTGTCCAATGAGATTAAAGTGGTGTAAAAAAAATGTAAGATAATGAAAAAAAAAGTGTGTTGTATAAACCAGACAAGGATGGTTTGCAAACCACTGATATTATATCTTATCAAAGTATCGAAGGAACACAGCTGAAATGTCTTGCTATTATTCTTCTAGAATTCCCAGCCAATGTAGCCATACCAACACAAATGTTTTAATAGAATTACAGAGTTGAAAGGGACCTTGGAGGTCTTCTAGTCCAGTCTTCTTCTCAAGCAGGAGACTCTATACCAGTGATGGCAAACCTTTTAGGCACAGACTGCTAAACAGCCAGAGCATCGGAAAACCGAGGACCAGCATGCATGCCTCAAAAACCAGCTGGCTGAGCTGGGACGACGGCGCGTGTGCCCACAGAGGGCTGTGTGTGCCACCTCTGGCACACCTCTGGCCATAGATTCGCCATCACAGCTCTATACCATTTCAGACAAGTGGTTGTCCAATCTCTTCTTAAAAGCTCCAGTGATGGAGCACTTACAACTTCTGAAGGCAAGCCATTTCAATAGTTAATTGTTCTGTTAGGAAATTTCTCCTTAGTTCTAGGTTGTTTCTCTCCTTGATTAGTTTCTATCCATTGTTGCTTGTCTTGTCTTCTGGTGCTTTGGAAAATAGGTTGACTCCCTCTTCTTTGTGGTAGCCCCTCAAATATTGGAACACTAATCATGTCACCCCTACTCCTTCTTTTCACTACAGCTATTTCCCTTCTAAATATTAGACTACACTATCAAGCTGTATAGAGTCATACTGCATAATGTCACTGTTTGCCCATTGAAATACAATACATAAATTTAAACTCTTGACCATAATTTGAGAAAGATGACTGATTTTTTTTTATTTTTTCAGATTTTTATCCTGCCTTTTTTCATATAGAACTCAAGGTAATGAACATACTAATATTTCTATTTTCTCCAACAAGAACAACCCTACAGGGTGAGCTGGACTGAGGGAGAAAAACTAGCTCAACCAGTCACCAAGCTGCTTTTCATCTCAAGGCAGGACTAAAACTCACAGTCTCTTGTCTAGGCCAGATCTTTAACTATTACACTTAACTGGGCTCTCATTTTAGTATCTTATCATTTTATCACACCTTTATTATGTTATCATTTATTTATATGTATTTAATATATTTCTTATATGTAAAAATTAAAATTCTGATACCTTTTAGAAGATCATATTTCAGTGATCATAATATAGTAACTCCTAGATTAATAAATTCTCCTAGACACACAGCTACTGCTAGATGGGCAGATTAAGTCCATGATCAGAAGTGATTTTGCCTAGCTTTGATGTACCAACAGCAGCCAGTCTAGATCTGGCTAATGACTCATGTCTGAGTCATTACTTGATTAAACTTGTGTCCTATGCTTTGGATGGGTTGCCTCTGTAGACCATTTGGAAACTGCAGTTGGTTCAAACTGCTTGTTGACTAGTGTTAAGCATATTACTTGCAAAAGAAATATATTGCAGCTGCTTTCCAGGAATAATGGGATCCCCTCTCCAATAGCCCACCAGAAATCTCTAAAGACCCAGCTTTTGCAGATGGCTTTTCAAGAATTAGAATTGGATGTCTTTTAAAATAGTGATAATTATGTACTATAATTATGAGAAAGTACTGTGCTTTGAGTTTTTATTTTAAGATTGTTGCATTCCATTCTGTACAAAATATTCTGTTGCATTTACAAACTATAGCAGAGACATCACTCTGCCAACAAGTGTGTTTAGTCAAGGCTATGGTTTTCCCTGTTGCAATGTATAGCTGTGAAAGTTGGTCCATAAGAAAGGCTGAGCGCCAAAGAATTGAGGCCTTTGAACTATGGCGCTGGAGAAGACTCCTGCGAGTCCCTTGGACTGCAAGGCGATTAAACCAGTCAGTCCTAGAGATCAACCCTGACTGCTCTTTAGAAGGCCAGATCCTGAAGATGAAACTCAAATACTTTGGCCACCTAATGAGAAGGAAGGACTCACTGGAGAAGAGCCTAATGCTGGGAACGATTGAGGGCAAAAGAAGGGGACAGCAAAGAATGAAGTGGCTGGATGGTGTCACTGAAGGAGTCAGCATGAGCTTAAATGGACTTGAGAGGATGGTAGAGGAAGGCCTGAAGGAACGTTGTCCATGGGGTCGCAATGGGTCGGACATAACTTCACGACTAACAATTCAAACTATACGCTGTACTTTTAACATATGCCAATGTGTAGTTTTATTGTGAGAGGTGAAGATTTGGCAGCATACAAAAATGAGAAAATTGCTTACACATATTTTAAGTGTTTTGTTTTTTTTCAAATTTACTCAGTCAGGAAATAAGTGCAACGAAACAGTGGAAAAACTTTCAAGATAAATGTTGCCACACAACTTAAACTGTGTACTCCGAAGAATGTGTTTCCTTGTAGTGTATATTTCCTCATTGGTAAGGATTTTTTTTGCTATCTATCTATCTATCTATCTATCTATCTATCTATCTATCTATCTATCTCCCAGAGGAAAAAAGAGCAGTGCTCTTAGATCGCACTCCCCCCCCCCCCCCCCCCCCCCCAATTCTCGGGCACGTTCAGTCACGCGCCCAGGGCACGAACGCTGTTCGACCAAGTCTCCAACGGCCGGGGCAAAGCCAGCTGCGCGCTCATTTCCCCCTCTCCCCCCCCCCCCTCCGACCCCGTGCCCGACGCTCTCGCGCAGATCCCGAAAGTCCCGGCAGAGGGGCGGGGAAAGAAAAGGCGGAGGCGAAGCAGGGCGTCGAACATCTTGTCACGCATGCGCGTGGCCGGCAACCCCGCCCCTCCGTCCGCCCCTCCTTTTTCTCGTTTTCTTCCTGAGAGAGCGGCTGTTCGGCTCCCTTTCCCTTCCCTTCCCCCTCACCCTGTCCCGTCCCTCGCCGCTTCCTTCCTCCTGTCTTGCCATGGATGGGTGAGTACCTGCCTCGCCCCGGCCGTTGCGGATTCTCCCCGCCGCTCGCTGAGGAGGAGGAGGAGGAGGAAGAGGAGGCGAAAGGACCCCCCCTCCTCCTTCCTTCCCCCTTCAGTTTCGCGTGGCCGTCCTGCATTCGGTGGCGGCTATCGAGATGCACAGTTTGAGGGGGCTACTAGGCGGCGGGGCAGGCGGAGTAAGACGCCGAGGGAAGAGGGCGAGAGAGCAAATGAGACTTCGGTCCGGCTATTAGGCGAGGAAGTGGAACCAGTGGGGCGGGGGCGTCGTTCCTCTGCCCTTGGACTACCATGCTCATCGTCCACTCCCCCCGCCCCCAAAAGCGCGGGTGACGGAAGCTGCGGTCTTGGAAGTCCTCACCAGGAATAGGACTCTTAGAGGAGTCGCCGAGAATCGAGTCCCACCGCCCCTCCTTGTTTTCTTCCGCCTCCCTTCCTCGGAACCCGGGCAGCGAGCGATCCCCGGAGTAGTTTTTTTTTTTTTTACCTCACTTCCCGGTAGGGCGTGCGAAGGCGAGGAAGAAAGAAAGAAACCGGGTTTAAACGGTAGTGGTTTCTCCCCCCCCTCCCCTCCTCCCCTCCTTTGATGAGGGCGAGGCGAAAATCGAGACGCGATCTTAACTTTCCTCAGGTGTGGCCGGCCGGCGCCCCATACATAACCCAGCCCTTAAAACTTCTCGCGCACTTTGGAATGGGGTCCCCTCGGTGGCCTTTTGTCTCTGTAGAAGAAAAACCAGTGGGGGAAGAAGAAGAAAAATAATAATACAAATAAAATAGAAAGCAGGCGATCTCTCTCTCTCTCTCTTTTCCTTCCCACCCCGTTTTCTTTTCCTCTTCGATTGCGACAATTAAAGGGCGAAAGAGTCCTCTGGCTTCTTCTTTCCTTCCTCCCTCCCTCCTCCCTTCCTTCTTTCCTCCCCCCCCCCCCCCCCCCGCGTTTGTCAGGTGTGGCTTTTCGACTTTATAGAGTTCTGCTATAGGAGTTGCCGCCGCTTGGATCGTTTTCGGAGTTGTGCGCTTGGCTCCAGAGGTGCAAACAAAATGTGTGTGTGTGTGTGTGTGTGTGTAAAAGACAAGAACAGTTTGCGGAGCAGACGGACGCGGTCTCGAGGATGGGAGGTTCCCCACCGAGAGTGAGGAGAGTTGTTGTCGAAGCGCGTCACGCCTTTCCAACCACCGGAGAGGAACACAACCAGGAAATCGAGAGCGCCGCCTTAAAGTTAAAAGGTGGCAGACAGGCCCGAGAAAAGACGGCAAAACTCCCAATCTTTTCAATTGTGTGTGGTGGTTTCCCCCCTCCCTCCGTTTTTTGTTTTTCGAGCAGCAGCTTTCCATAGTATATTGCACTGCCGGCAGTGACTGCTGACAAAGTTTGCAAGCTTTGTGAGCTTGATTTTGAGCTAACTTAATTGATTGGAACTCTCCTCTCTCATCGCCATGAAACTTAGACCTTTTTTCTTTTCTTTTCCGTAGTTCGGGCTGGTAAAATGTTTAAATATTGCAATGGCTGAAAGATAGCTGCTCATACCTTGGTCTTGACACCCCAGTGTCTTATTTATTTATTCCATTTCTAAAGCTCATCTCAGCCAAGCGACAGCTAAGTGGCTGACAGTTCTAAAACTATAAAACAGCTAAGGCAATGCAACAATAAAAACGTCCAAAAAATAGCTTCTGCTCTATTGACTGTTTTTAACATTCATTGAAGAATGTATTTTAAGTTCTGTAGTTTTTGAGAAGCAATATAATTAGGTACCTTTTTTCGAGATAGGATTTCTATTATTCTGAACATAATATTTCACACTAATATTTGAGTTGAAGGGTGTTTGCCTGAGGTTTCACAGTTTTGGCAAGAAAATAAGATTAGAAACATTTGTGTCAATGTTCTGTTCTGATTTAGTAATACTACAATCTTTCTTCACATTTATCTAAGCAAGGCAGTATCTCAAGTATAATGAATTGTGAATTAAATTTATTGGTAGTGACCATTAGGCCAAAACAAATGTGAAAATTTATTTTCAAGCCGTGCAATAGGAATATTGCAAATGGTATTACTACTTTTTTGTTTAAGACTGCATTGCTATAACAATTTACTTGAGGAAATAATTATGGAATATGAGATTTCTGAGGAGATAGGTATATAATTTTATTATACTTTAAATAGTATAACTAATGAAATTCAGGTTCTTGATCTATAATTCTTATATAGAAATGCAGTGGCAGTTTGAAATTCCTGGGTTACCTTTATTGCATGTTAATTTCTTTTAATTGAGCAAGTTGAACATTGTATTGTAAAAACAAAGTATTTCCTATTCTATTATGAGAAGCTGAACATATAACATATCATCTTGGAAATTTTAAGGAGATATATCAATTATATGATTAGATCATGTTGAATTTCATTTCTAAAAGGATTCCAAACATTTTTTGCAATGTGGCATTTCCCTTTGTCAAGGGAAATGCTGGGTTTGGTATTAATGCAAACATTTCCTTTAGGAAATAGAAAACACTAATATGATTAGCCACACTTCTTTCCTTGCTTTTTTCTTCTATCTTTCTTGCATTTTTTTATTTTTTTGCCATACATGCAATATGGCAAAAAACAATACCATGCATGTTTTAATTATTATGCTTTGTGAGCCACCCAGAGGCTACTTGACAGGGAAATTATATTAAATCTAATAAATAATACATTTAAAGCAAAGGAAGCTGGGATACTCAGGATCTGCGTGTGTAGTGCTTTATCTTGGGGACGGGTTGTCTAATGGATTAGAATATGTTGCTTGTGCCTTTATATATAGATACACTGTAGTCCATGCAAAGAGGAATTGGCCAGAAGCAGGAAATGCCTAAAATGGTACTAATTTTGCTTAGATGGCTCATTCTAAAATGGGGAATAACAATGTGACTACATAGAACTTTTTGATAATGATGATTACACATGATTTATTAAGAATATATATATTTATTTTAGTAACTCTGGTACCTTGGCAGTCTATTTGAGACAGTATTTCCTGAAAATCCTAAATAAGTACAAAAGCATCAACTATATGACTGAGCAGATAGATTTTAAATCTTTTCCTTTTATGAATGTGTTTTAAGATTGTATGAGGAGGTTTTTTTATTTCTATGATTTGGGATGCTTTGGTGGATGTACAGGACACAAGGTTTTTAGTGACTACTCATGGGCTTTGCAATTCCTTAAGGAATTCACATATTACATTCTAATTAAATCAATTAATTATAAAATCTTTGTGTTTGATGTAACTTGAATTCAATTTTTTCACTTAGAAAAATATGTTTTGTTTCAAACCTAAGGTAAACACACTGTGTTTTAGAAGTTCTTGAGTAAGCTTGGGTTTCGTAAAAGTGAAACCCAGAATGTTTTAATGTTTTTTGTTTTAGGCCAAACAAAATCTGGAGGTATCTTAGAGTGAAAAGAATAAGACTAGTGTACCTTGCCCCTCCTCCCCACCATGGCCTGTACCCATTTGCTGGTATTCTCAGTGCTTTCCTTTCCCTGCCTTCTTTTAACTACTGGTAACTTGACACTTTATCTTTTGCACATCCTATGTGGTGGCTTGGCTATTAGCCTTTCACCACTTAGTTGTCATTGTTAGCTTTTTTACTTCCTCCAAAATACTTGCCAGAATAGATTAGTCTGCACATGGAATACTTCATAGATTGTTTTAATGATGGTAATGCAGTTACCAACTCTCGTTTCCTTTTTTTGTTTTCAAAGTTACATATCTTTCACATCATCTGAAAACAAACATATTTTTCTTTGTACTGTTCAAGGCTATAGAAATAGGTTTTGGTATTGTTATCAAATGTTCAGTTGATTTAATCTGTATTAAGAATTTGCTCTTATTTTCAGTTATTTACAAATTCATTTACAAATTTTCATTACATTAAGCTAGTTTTTGGTAATAGCATTTCAAGCAATCCACTAATGTGTCCTGTTGGGCATCTTCTGGGAAAATAAATTCTCTGTGCTCTCTTCTAAACAGCTGCTGCAAAATGATTATTGTGAAAGTTCTTTTCAAGGTATGCCACATTGTCTTTTATTTCTAGAGCATTGAGGTATAGGAGGTATCTCACTTGAGGTATATAGGAGGTGACTTATATAAGCACTGAAACTAGGAATGCACAAAATATTATGTTCATGAATTGTTCTGTATACAGAACAACTACTTTTGGGTGCTTTGCGGCCCAACCATTTTAAGTGTGCTTCAGTTATGAGGAATAAAATAGTGTTGTATTGTTGTTTTTTCTGGAAGCAGATCAAAATGCAATTGATGCAGGCAGAAGAGTTGTTTTGGATGGGGGGAGCAGGAAAAAGGCAAGTCTTGAAGGGTTTCTTTGGCAATCATGTGTGGAGATTGGTAGCAACAATAGATTAGTAGCAGAGAGAAGGAAGGGAAAGCACTGGATAGATTTGATAAGTAATGCATGGGACATCAGTGGTATTTGAGGAGAGGCAGGAAAGGAAGAGGCTTGGAAATCAGTGGACAGAAGAGGAAGGTGTGTGTGCAGTGTACAGCCTTGTTTTATCCATTCCATTTTGTACAGCCTTGTTTTATCCATTCCATAAAATCACTCGGAACTGTCTGGATTTTGGCCAAAACCTTGAACAATCAAAACATTTGGATTTCATTTCTTTGCCATGGCTAAATAATACTGGTTGGGTAGTACTTCTGGAATGTAATTTTCCCTTTTAAATGACCTATAACCTCATGTATATTCTATTAGACTGAATATTAGTTTCCTAATGCTAAATTTCTTCTAATCTTTTGTACACTGGCAATATACTCCATAGCAAACTTTGTATTAGGTGTTTAATTAGTGCATTTAGAGCCTTGGTAGTACAGGGGTTTAAGGCACCCTGTTATTAAGCTTATTAAGACCAGCTGCCTGCAATTACTGCAGGGTTCGAATCTCGCCAAGGCTCAAGGTTGACTCAGCCTTCCATCCTTTCTAAGGTAG